GTTAAAGAATTATCTATATGCTCATTCCTTCTACTCTTTAGATGAATACTTCAATGTAAATAGAGAATGATGTAAAATTAAGTTATATTAATTTTTAAGCTAAAATTGCCTGTACTTATATGTATGTAACATTTTGACTTGTTCTGTATCCATAGGTACTAACCTGCTTAGGATTTATAGAATGTAAATAAATTCAATTCAATTCAATATCTTCAGAATTTGCGTGATAGAAACCACACAGAACTAAATTCGGGATTGCTGGCTAGAATCCTAACCAGGTACCTCTCAAATTCAAGTGAGGTACATCCCCCATTCCCATCATGCCTCACCTTGCGCAAGGTCGACAGGCTTGATGTATATATCTGCAGGAAGTGAATCAACCTCCTCAACTGCCTCTGAAGGAATTATATCAGGAATGCTTCCTGTTTCATCTTTGATCCCCACGCCACCCAATGTAGGCAGACCTGCTCTCTTGCGTGCCATCATGGCCGTCAAACCAAACTTATCAGAGAAGTGCAAATAACTGCGACGAGGTATAAACTTCTTCCTCTCTTTTTCTTGTCTCTCCCGTAATGCCAGAACCTTATAGTGTTCCAGAAGGGAGCTGATTCGTGCTGCATGGACATTCTCTCTCTCTGGCCAACCCCCAGTTGCTGAAATGGAAATGGGCATTTATAGATTCAAGTGGACCACTGATTCTGTTCTGTCCACATTAAAATATTATTCAGTCAACCCATCTTTTTCAATTGTTCTCTCTTGAGCTATGATACCATTTTGTCCCACAGCATCATCCTCAGGAGGGAACTGACATATACCTCTGAAAAAAAAAATGCTGGGCTTCTATATATCTATACATTGTCATAAACCAGAAGATTCCATACCTCACAGTCACTGCTGTGAGAGCCTCAAGTCCCACAAAAATTTGTTGGAGAAATATAGATTTATATCTAAACGTATACAAAATATGTTTTTTTTTATCCAAACAGTTCAATGCCTGACATCTGCCCAAGAAATGTGTAACTACTTTCTGGGCACTCTCATATTAAACACAATCTGTAGCAGTTTCCTTCCAAACTATACATATAATGTTCTAATCTGTATTATTTGTCCAGCAAGGATCTGCAATGATCACTTGCACAAACATATTTGTAGTAAGCAAGTTTGACTCAACTCAGAAATATGAAAATCTTGAATACTTTATTCTTTCTAGAAACATTTTTCTGTTACATACATTTGTTATCTTCTGCAAATGTCCTGATCACAATATATAAGCACAAAAAGTAAAGCTATCTCTGTGCTTAACTAATGTTATGGCCCAAATTTGAGATTGAAGAGGGTATGGTATTACCCAAAAGCTAGAGACTTGCGAAAAGCGTTTCGCAGCTATTGCCATAAATTGTAAACACCGGGACTGGCAATTAGGTTAAGAATGTGACTGCACAGCAGGTCTATGTAATCACAGAGCAATAGCTTACCTCACTCGTTCACTGGATTTAATCGTAAGAGACTGCTTACGCAGCAATAAGACGCAAGGGGGTCCGCCCACAACCACCCATGAGAGCCAATGAGGAGGTGATTATGAGGATTGAGGACACTGAGGGGGAGTCACCTACCCTCTGTCGTCAACGCTGAATCAGCGAAATAAAACCATAAATTAGGGAATTTCGGGGGATTTGGAACATGTTCTATCACAGAATATTCAATTGTCAGCCAAAGGCTCTCTTCAACATGGGTCTGACCAGCGGAGGCAGTGGGCCGGCATCTTGTACTACAGGTGGGTTTGTTTACACATATTAGCCATGCTGATTGAGAATATCGTTGTTTCATGGTATTGGTGATAACAGTGTTGTTGAGCTATTGAATGTGCAATTTCCAGTGTACCCAGTGAGCCCTGAGGGTAGGGACCAGGATCTTGTAAAAGCCTAGGATATTAGTCAGGCAATCAGTGATTTATAGTATATATATCAAGGTTAGGGTTAGTGTGTTGTAGTAAAGATAGTAGGCGGGATTCAATACGTATAACCAAGGATAGAGTAGGTTAAGAGGTATAGGTAGTGTACTTATATATATCGAGAGTGAGAAATGTACAACTAGAAGATTTATGTTACACGAGGAGGGCTTGCATGGCCCATTAGATGAGTCCGAGAGAGAGAGAGAGGCTCCAGGCCTCCACCCCTGAAGGGGGAGAACGTAAAGAAGCAGAACGAGTAGTAAAGACTCTATGTAGTCAAGACTGAAGGACAGTCTTTGTAATATGTAAATAATGTAAATTATGTATATATATAATAATGTAAATAGACAGCTAGAATAGATAGGATAGGATGTACCGGGATTGTGATTCATACCTATAATCAACTTCCCCGCCACCAATCCCGATAATCCTGACCAAAGCGAGGGTTGAACTGACACAGGAGCAGTGGCAGCCTAAGACAAGAAAGACAAACAGGGATAGGCACCTGCCACACCGGCAGAGTTAAGTAGCCTAGATACCAACGCCCCTTAAGATATAATGATAAAGTGTATTAATAAAGTATTAAGTCGCTACCTGTAAGCTACGGGAGGAGTGGTCAAGGAGCAAGGACTACCTGCCAGGGAGTAGTCCCCACGATTGAAAGGACAGAAAATAGATGGTGGCAGCTTTTACCGAAAAGGAAACCCCGAACAGGAGAATCCTAGCTAAGGGTGAGCTAGGATGATTGTGATAACTCCTTACAGAGCAAGTGACGGTGGAGGCAAGGAAGGATCCCTCCACGGCCCCCTACTGGCGGCGTAACAGTGGCGGCAGAGGAGGCTACCTCCACGCCCCCCCTGCGCCGCTAGGGCATTACAACTAATTAAGCACTATGCTATGAAGACATATGGGGAGTGGATATATAGATCCACGTTATCTTGACGTTGGCTCTAGTTGGAGATGAATGGTCAGCTAGCTTCATGCCCTGAATACTTTAGCTCCAGGGAAAGAGCCCTTGGTACGCACTGGACAGGAGGCTGAGTGGGCCCAAGAACAGGTCTGGATGACGTAGAAAGGAGAAAAATCTCATCCCTACTGGGGCTCGAAATCTGACCCCTTGGCCATTAAGCCCACAGCTAATTGCTACAACTGTGCTATCCCAGCTTTGGGTGTACCTATATTTTTGTTAAATTACAAGCATATGCTATGACACAAGAAATCTGTAGAAATTAAACACACAATCATGTACCCAAATAACTGGACTGACATATATTTTAATCTGCAAGTGTGTATGTGGATGATTATGAGACATTCCTATGCACTTTTGCAGCAAAATATATTTTTCATTATTAAGGGATTCAAAATGGGAGCTCCTTCCCCAGAGTTAAAATGGCCACAGCCTGAAGCTGACCACTCACTTAGATCAAGTGCCAAGGTCAAAAATGCAAGGAGCTATACCTCCACTCCTCCATATGTCTTCATGTTATAATATAATGGGCACAGGGATAGTTTTACTTTTTACATTTCTGGTGAAATTCAAATCACTCTGATTCTGAATTCTGAGTATCTTTAAGATGTAGTATTAATCTGATATGGTCATATTCATATAATTTGTACAAAGGTGTTAACAGTTTTAAATTGAATCTGAAGAATTCTAGTCTTGTTACTCATTTTATGTATTGGAAGAGTATTTTGTGAATTTTAATAGGAAGAGTAAACTTAATGCTGGTTATTTTCTTGGGTTTTAGTTGTATTATTTTATTATATCTGTATGATTAGCATTGTGCTGTATTTTATTGTTGTTTCTTTTATATATTTGGAAGTGTATTTTGAGTATTTTTGATAGGAAGGGTTGAATTGATACTCGTTATGTTTTTTATGATATCAGTAGTATTATTTAACATATCTGTATATTGACTTGGTACCTTGTACTGTTTTTATTTATGTGTTTTGTTTGACTTTTCCACATCCTCTGAATGTATTTCTAGTATTGGATTTATGGAAATAAAGACTACTACTACTACTACAATCTCTGGGTTATAATAAACCCATACTTTCACCTAAAGGAAAAACTGTGATGTGAAATGAGGTCCCACTAACATTACAGTGTTTCACCATGTGACATGATGGTAAATTATATTTATTAATATGACTACATTCATTCAGTTATTTTTACATTAAACATTAAAAACTGTTTTAAAACTGAATAAAAAACATCCTTAGTACCTGAAGTTTGAAACTATTATACCATACAATGGCCCGCCACATATACTCACCAACTGTCTGATCTGGAAGTCCAACATCCCTCGAAGTCCATCGACAGAAACCACAAGCCAAATAATATGCTTTCCGAGTCACAGTCTTATTTGGGTCATCAGGATTTTGTGTACTTATATTTGTTGACCGTGTAGATACAGTATTTAAACAGCTCGGGCAATCTAGGCAAGCTGCACATCGATTCTTCTTAAGGCGAGCCTCAGAAGAAGGCAAATTCTCCAAACAGTTAGCACAGTAGTGCGAATCTACCTACAGAAAATAACTTCACATCAGTTTTCACGCAAACACAATTACACCGTCTTAAGTTCTAAAAAGATATATATACTAGGTTCATAGGAGACAAAAATGTCATTACACTTCATAAAACGAACATGACTTACCTCATGACATACACAATAACCGCACCTTATTTTCAGACAGTGTCTACAAAAATATATTCTGGAGATGGGTTTCAACGAACCACAAGTACAGTTATACCGCACAATATCAGGCTGTAGAAGAAATGCCATTCTACCTAAACAGAAATAACAAACTCACAAATTATATGTCACACTCTGACATTTTCGACACAATCATTCGAAACCCACAACGCACACAACCGCACTGAGAATGAACTACACTCGCTCATCCGTTGCAAATTCAGTGTGCCGCTCCGTGCTATTAGTGGGCAATATAGCCACCGTGACGTCATGAATGCATCACTGCTGCCTCAATATTCGTAGGCAAGTCTATTGAAAAATTATGGCTGCCGCCAGTGCCGAGAGCAAGGTCGATAAAAAGGTATGCTATCATTCCACCACCCTTTGTGTATTGCCCCCCTCCCAAAGAATCACTAGTTCAAAAGAATAGGTATAATTTGCAACCCTGACCTCTTAGTCTGCAGAGGTTATTACTCCATTCTTCTTTGAGCAGAGTTTAATATCACTTCACTCATATCCATTATGAGGGGTATGGGTGAAGTGATATCAAACTCAGTTCCAAAACAAAAAACACGTGTCAGAACATATGGATATAACCTTGCATTGAGTACACTCAACTCTCAATTATCCGGGATAATGGTGGGGATGGAAATCACGATTAATCGAAAACCCGGTTAAGACAAATTTTATTAAAATTAGTACTGTAATACTGTACCTTCATAATACTATAGGCCTACCTGTATTTAAATTTATTCAACCTCATTTTTATGTCATCTCATGGCCTATTTAATACTTTTCTTTTTACATTACACTGAAGTATGAATTAGTTATTTAAATCACAGTGTTCAACAACATCCAACACTTTTTACGAATATTCACACTTAACACACTGTCGTTTGCTTTTTCGCGGCATTTTCCTTTTTACGGATATCCGTACGAAGGCTACGTAATATTAGCTTGTCACTTAATAAACTGTTCTCTTCACTCTCAAGATCACTCAAGATAGTCTAGTAAGGATTCCAAATGATTAAGAGCAGCACCGTGTGATATTTTCTTACTAGCAGCACCATCCACCTCTTCCTCATTCTCCCTTTTTTTTCCCGCTCTTCTGGCTGAACCCCCACTGAACTTGATTTCGTCACCGCTTAACATTTCGAAGCCCGGCTCACACGAGTTTCTGTTGAATAATTAACACAACACGCTTCCTTTCACACCCTGACATTTTGCTAACACACTTGAAGATCGATACAAAGAGACTAACTGGATCGGTGTATCTGTCCTTGAAACTTTCCACAAATCCTTGCATTCTTTCACCTCTACCCTAGAACATTTTGTTAGCATAACGGAACCAAAAAATGCAGAGCTCGGTTCACACTAGTGCGAAAATAGTGGTACAACTCACCATGTGAAACAAAAGTGAATGAAAATTAAACAACATATAAACCTCAAAAAAGCCCCGGTAGTCCCGGTTAAGCCGCAAACCGGTTTATCCGCCCCCGGATAATCGAGAGTTGAGTGTATACTCAATTTTGTAGGCATGATGATCCCCTTGGTGTCGGTTTCATGAAGTTTACAGTGAACAGGTAACATGTAGGATTTGAGGTTCTCAGTGTGGTTATGCAGAATTCTTTCCTCTAGAGCGGTCCATTGAAAGCTAATCAACGCTTCAGAGCTCTGCATATTACTGGCTTCATGGTGGTTTCTTGTGTACCCTGATGCAACTTGGGGGGGGGTCAGATTCTGTTCAGTAAAGCAATATGACATGAAAGGTCAAGACAACTGAAGAGGAGGCTGCTAGAAATGCATGAGAATCATATGAAACACATAAATAAACTCCATGGGCTAAAGGTGGAGTTTTTAATGTCAAAGTACGTGTCACATATAGCAAAAAGAAAAAAAAAAAGTACAGCTACCCCTGTCCCAGGCCGTGAAGGTCCATAGGATTGTGAGACATACAGGGTTCCACATTATTTAGACAATAGGCTCAAAGATGGCGGTAACGTTGTCAGCCTTATGTGCCAACCACGCTTTACTCCCTATGAAAATTATTTAATTAATTCCTGGTACTCATTTCTGTTAGAGGCTGAGTGAACCCCAGGGCCATAGTGCAGCTGGAAGGGTTAGGTCAATTGAAAAAAACCCAATGACTCATCAGGGCTTGAACCCGTGCTCTTCTGGCAGTGTCACATATAGTAGCCACTATTATTTAAAAGTTTAATCTATTTTAAACTCTTGATAATCTGCTAAGTAAGAAAGTTGAATATGAAAAATCTAAGTAAGAAATGTGAAATAAAACAATGTTTCTTCAAGACACTCCTCTCTAGTGGAATGTCAATTTATTCAAATAAACCATTTGTTTTTGTTTTTCTTTCCACAGTACACTTTTATATTACAAATGCAGCTGGACAATTTACTTTAAACCTATGATAAGAATCTAGCATCACAGAAGAAATAAAATACTTTACAAAAGAAAGAAATATTCTAATGGCATACAACATTAGTCTTTACACAACCACTTTAAAATAATATTTTTTTTATTGACTCTGTATAAAAATAGTCACTCTTGAAGAACTGCTTTCTGCTCTACAAATGTGTCTAGTATTTCTCAGAAAAATAAGTAGTGTAAAACTACATTCAAAACTGGAAGAAGCAGTCTCACAAGGTATATACACATTTGTAAAAACATTTAACATAGTCTAAACATTAGAAATAGGCAGACAGGTATTGCTAAACAGTATGATCCAAAATAAAATGTATCAAAAGATAGTAGCAAGTGCAGCAGATATGTGATTTTGGCATTGTGCTATATGTACATGGGAGTTAGCCAGCCTAGTCAGTGTAACAATTAGGCTGCAGGCTAGACAGGTGACCCAGGTTTCAATTCCCAGCATAGTAGAAATTCTTCTCTTTACCACAAAGCCCAGACTAACTCTAAGGTCCAACCAGTCTCCTACACAATCGGTACCAGGGGCTCTTTTCCCAAGGAGTAAAGCAGCTGAAACAAGATGATCACATGACCTCCATCTAGCATTGAAAGTTAAGAAATACTGCAGCTATACCTTTACAAAAATGTCAAGGCTCATAATGAGCTGCAGTGCCAATCCTTTACAATTTACCTATTTGTTCATATGGTATGAAGTAAAGCTACCTATGTAACAGGCCGTGGAGGCCCATAGGGTGGTGAGGCATCGAGGTTCCCACAATTTCTATACAATTGGCCCACAGATGGCAGTGGGGTTGTTAGCCATACATGCTGGCCACCCTTTAACCCCAGGAAGATTACTGATACTCATTTCTGTTAGAGGCTGAGTCGACCCCAAGGCCATAGAGTTGCTGGAAGGATTAGGTCAATTGAAAAATCCAATGATGTCACTGGGAATTAAACCCGTGACCTTCAGGCTTGTAGAATAGTGCCTCAACCATGAATACATTAGATACAGGTAAAAACAAAGTTTCCTTTGTACCAAATACCACACCTCATAGGTGTGTGCAAGAAATATTACTGCATTCTAGACCTTAGCACTACATACAAGTAGACATGAGTGGTCAGCTACATACTCTTAGCCACTTCACCCTTGCAGAAAAAAGACTCACCACACATTACAAAGAAGGCTTGGTGGGCATTAAAGAGGTGATCTGGATGTAGGAGCAAAAAGAGATTCTTGCTGGGAGTCAAACCTTAACAATCGAACCTTTACCAGTCACATTACTATACCATCCAGCCTCCTACATATGTTACGCTTAACTTCCTCACACCGTAAGCATTGTCAGGCCACAACTTGCACCACTTTGCATGAAACCTTAAATTAAATTATGCTATACATAAATGGAACGTACCATGAAGGAGGCAGCAAGTTCCTTTGAAAAGTCAGTAAATGCCTACCACTCTACATGGTGTTGTTGTGATGAACAGAAATACTGTACAAACGAAGAGAGCATTTGGCTTCAGTGTTCAGGAAGGCCACTGATACAAAAATATTTACAATTAAGACAAGTTTGCTATGAATGTAATAAATGTTTCAGTATCAATGTAACAACTTCATAGGTTATGTAGCAGTAGTTATCCACTTGAGATCTCTTTAACCTCTAGTACCGATATATACAGACACTCGTCTGTACCTACAGTGATACAGAGACAGATCAAACTTCAAATATTGGTCACCAACACAATCTATGTTGACATCAATAGATATCATATCCTTTTATTCTGTCTACTACAGATCCATCTACTAGTAATATACTTTATTTTGGGACACACTGTGTTGTGTGGACAGTATCCAACAAGGCACACTTAATCACTAAAACTAAGCTATGCCCGTTAAAAAAATAACAATCTAATGAACTAGAATAGTAGTAGCTACTGTACAACATGCGTTTTTACAAAACCATCAGCATATTCAGTTAAAGAGTTACTATTTTTTGGGATGTGACACCATTAGTCTGGTAGAGGCTTACTGATGTTTCAGTATAATTCACTGCCTCTGCCACTGCGATCTTCAGGATCAAAGTGTGAGTTGTGCAAGCAAGCAGCAACGGCAGTAAGGTTTACTCTTTGATTGGCTTAGATTGAGGCAGTATCTTCCTCTGAAAGGCCACGCCATGGCTCAGTTACTTACCAGCTACTCACTACAATGGCCAAAATTCAATTCCATGTCTGTTCATGTGGCATTTGTGGTGGACAAAGTGAAAATGGGCCATGTCTTCTTCAACCCCTGCCAATTCTCATTCTAACAAATGCCCGATTTCTCTCATCTGTCATTCAGCACTGGTATAGCGGGCCATAAACTAAGGACCAAGGGACCCAGTCACATTGTACCCTATGAATAAAAAAAAATTCCTCTCAAACATTGGTTAATGTCTACCAGACTTCACAACATCACATACCAGAAGACACTACTCTTCATATTCACCATTATTGGAACATCAAATTTAATTAATATATTCAATTGCTCTGGACAAACATATTTCAGATACAGATTCAGGTAGTATGAATGTTATAACCTAATTTTTGTTTTACATCATCACCTGTGCCTTCCTTTCTTCAGTATGGTTTTGTTTACACAGAACATAAGACATATCTCTCTCTGTTAGATCATGTTCTCTGATTTCTCAGGGTTCTTCAATAGAGCCAAACCATTCTAAACCATGTGTTTTATGTGTATGGGCTGAGTCCATATAACATCCAAATTATAAGGAACTATGGCAAAGGATAGAATGATAGGCAGTAATG